GGCTACAGATACAAGATGCTTACAACGAATTTAGAAATAACTTTGGAGTTTTTGCAAGAATTCGGCGATCTCTAAGCAAAAGGGCAAATTTATGCATAAAGACTAATGGTCATCACATCGAGCATTCTTTGTAAGTATCTACTTTTGATACTTGTTCTTTTGTGTTAGTTTCCTTCCATCGTAATAAATACTTTGTTTTTAAATCACTTTAATAAAATAAAACCCTTTGCTTTTTTTCCCAAACTTTTTTTACAAATTGTGTGTTGCATTTATTGAAACAAAAAATAATTTATAAAATTAATTAAGGTACCTATTAATTTAACTTTCATGACCAAAAAACGAACAATTTTCTAATCGATTTTTCTAGAAAATGGTGTATTCTACTGACTTAAAGTAAGCGTATCTTTTAGTACTAGAATACCTGAAAATTTAAAAATCTAGTATAACGAATGGTTACAAGTTAAAGACAAAAAATGCATTAAAATAACCTTTACCTACCCAAAACGGACGCCTATGACCGGTAGTAGAAATTTGTAATTGATGGAATTGATTTAAGTCTGGATGATAAATATTCTTACAAGTTTTAGTTTTTCTAACTAGCAGCGTTCTGTAGGTATTAAAAAAACTAATTACAAGGCGCCATGTTCAAAGCGCTCTAGCTCCATTATTAAGGATTTTTGGACTAGGTGAAATGAGTTAAATCATTTTAAAATTATCTGAGGAATGTCCAGTCTGTGTTTATCAGGAGAGTTTCTGGACACCATGTATTTGTCTTAGTTGTTTGTTTTGAAGGCTGGTGTTATTCCTTTCTATTTTATGTGTTTGACTGTGTTTGTTAATATAAACAAGAATTAAATATCTTAAAAAATATATTCTCATTCAAAGAAAAAACATCCATTCAGCCATGAAGACTAGATGCTAGTCTAGTTACTAGTATGATATATCTGCCAAAAATCACTATTTAAAAATAAATTCGCGATTTGCCTTTAAAGTAGGCTATTCTCCAACCAATAAATGTATTCCATCATTTTGCCGTCATTGTATGTAAAAAAATTGAAAGTTGATATTTATTTTGCATAATTAACATAATATACGTTACAGGTGAGTGGAACATTTATTAGAAAATAAAAAGTATAAGGACCAATTCAGCAACCCTTATTCAAAGACACTTATTTATTTATATAATATTTCAAACATATTTTTAACAAATTGCATGGTAGGCATGACCTACCTAATTAGTAAATGGAGATTACAATGCTATAAACGGAAAACGCGATAAAAGGGCGGACAAGGACGAAAACTTTTTAAATTATTAATTAGGTTATCATTTAAGTAATCTATGATAATATGGACCCCAGACATGGTATATCATATGGGTCTCCAAAAATTCACGCAAAAAGTAATTTTGACAAAAACACAGTTTTTAATTAAAAATAGCACATTTTCAATTGAGTAGTGAAGTATATCACATGAGATTCATTCATTTCTGTTTTTTGTCTCCTTATCATCTTCCACACCTTTTTCTGGAATCCACATCTTTGGTAAATTTCTCCCAGTGTTCTTTTTGATGTTATCTATTTCTTGGTTTACTCTGTTCCTGATTCTCAAGTAGTCTTCTTGTGCCTCCAGTGTCTTCACTCCTTTGTATGTTACTAAAGCTTGTTTCTTTTCATTTGCTAATGCTTTCACCCTTTCATGGTACCATGGAGTTTTGTATTCCTGTTTATTTCTGTTAACTTTTTTTACCTAAAGCTTCTTTCGCTGTTTGTAGGATACATTTTTTAATAATTTTACAGGTTTATTCTATATTCTTTTTAGTCTCTAGGTTATGGCTGTTTAGCTTTTCTGTTAGTCTGTTTCTATACAAGTTTTGTGTCCCTTCTTTTTTTAAGCTTTCTATATTTAACTTTTCTTCTACTTTTGTATTTCGCTTGCCTTGTGTGGTGATTGCTATATTTATTTTTCCTAGTACCAGGCCATGGTCGGATGTCCATGGGGTATGGAATTTTAAAATTGTTTAACCACGATACTGAAAGGATTCTCAAGAATTCTCTCACGAATTGCACAAATTTTTGTATTTACGACTTTTTGAGAGAGTATCAGAGAGTCTATAAAACGATCATTTTTGCTAAAATTTTTATGAATGTTCACATTTGATCAGATTAGATCAGTACTCCGACTATATTTTGTACAAATAATGCTAAAATTAACTGTCAAACTGTCACTATTTTATCTAGATATCTCTATATTCTCCATTGGCAATACTACTTTGGACACATTCATTTATACAAGTTAAAAATACAGAAAACTACTGGGGAACCCTGCCAGTGTCCAAAACATGACGTTAAAATATATCACAAAAATGTGATCAATTATGAAAAGTAGACTTAAGTATTGTTTGGGAACCTGTATATATTTATTTTAGTTAATTTAATATTGAATTTCTATTGAATGGGGTTTTACAAATTACATAATGCAAAATAACCTTATGTATTTAATTCTTTACATTTAATTGTTCTACATTCATACACAAACACTCTATATATTTTTTTAATATTGTACGCACAAGTCCTTCAAATATGCTCAGTCAGCAAACCTAAGAAGGTACTACTAAGCAGTGTTTGCTTCAACGTCGGCGACGATCTTTTGGTGCTTTCAAAGAAGTATATAGCACTCATTTTGCAAATAACCAAGAAAGTTGTGCAGTGAACAATTGAGTAGTCACTCCTCAAATCTACGTGTATACCTAAGTCCTACAGAACACAATTCTAAGGATAGTGGTTTGTGCATATTTTGAAATAAATGTAAAATCACAACAACATTCAAAACAACCAATACACTGAGGTCTATACCGTCCAAAACTAAAACAAACAGCACACAGGAATCAAACTGCATCTATAAAAAAAACCTTAAGAATAGGTAGAATTTTTATATGGGAGAAACCGCAAGATCACTAAGTGTCAGGATAAACGAGCATGAATCATAAATCAAAAACAGTGACTTCAACAGAGCTCAAATATGCAAACATGCCTGGGACAAGCACAGAGTACAATGGAAAGATACATAAATAATAAAAAAAAAACGGAGAGCAAAAAGGAAAATCAAAAAAGCAGCCCCAAAAAATGAAGGAAAAATGTGTAGCAAACCCATCAACAGAATGTTGCAGGCTCTGGTTACTAAAAGAAGAAGTCAGCAATAAGAACATACCAAATTTAATGGATAAATGGGTTAATAAGGTCAGAGACACATCATCTAGAATTATACACAATACATAAATACACAAAAGATCAGAATTTAATATCATTCTATGGGTACAACACAGCTCTCAGAATTTTTCAACTTACATGGCCATTTGCCTACAAGATCTGGGTCGACTAAGTCACCTGTCAAATTGGTAAAACAAAGCACCAATTAATAAACATCTGGAGGTTAAAATAACTAATTATTTTTAAAATGATCTTTTTGAAAATGATTTCCAGAGTGGAAATTGAAAAGTTAAAAACAAACATAAAATATTTAGTTTCTAAGAAATATTAGAAATATTAAAATCGAAGAAAGCTTTAATGAATCATAACTTGTGAAAATGATAATAAATAAAACAAAGACACCCAGTATTCGAATGAATTGACAATGATTATCACTACTGTATACAGAGTAGTTCTATGAACTTAATTAACCACCAGTTATGGTAGTCTTAATTAAGAAATTGGTATACAAGGTAATTTTTCAATTGAGAACTTGTCTTATTTAAAAGTACATAACAATTCGATATTATTTTCTGTCTCTCACTGGTTGTGGAACTTCTAAGATGGTGATGTAAGCAATTTTTTTGCTAGGGCTAGGTTTTCTTAACATTCTATAAGTATATTCAAATTTCTGATGTTCTGGTCCTTTTCATTCTGCGTTCTGTATGGAGTTTAAGCATCTACACTTCAACTCTAGAATATAAATTATGCAGTATTTCATAATGGTTGCATCTTTTTCGCCTCTTATTTGATTGCTTCCATTTGATGTCCCAAACTTCATTCCAGTTAGTGAGGATGTTCAAAATCATAGTAGTTGTGTGAAATTACAGCACAACAAAGAAGATCATGTTCACAATAATTTACGAAAGCTAGACTGTAGCTTGAAAAATAAGTTAAAACATTAATTTAAAAATAGCAACTAATTTCTTCTTATTGACTGGCTTTACAATTCCGGTGAGTCTTCGCCTCATCCACTATAGCCTTCCATCTTCTACGATCTTGTCCTTCCTTTTCTCATTGTTGTACCACAATCCCTAGATAAATTAGCTTCAACATCATCCTTCCATCTTTTTATGGGGTGGTCTATGGATCTTCTACTGTCTGCTCTCTTAAAAAATACCGTCTTTAGCATTCTGTCTTCCTATTATCTTAACCACATGACCTGTCCATCTTATCCAGTTAGCTTTTGTGTCTGACGATGCTTTCAGTACTATACAGTCACGAATTCAGCTTAGCAGTGTCATCCCCACTCTTCTGTCAATTCATCACTTAAGTAGTAACTAATTTCTAATTTGAAACATATCAATAAAATCAATAGAAGTGTTGATTTTAACAAACAAATTAAATGTTCTTTACAAAAATACAGAGATCACGGCAAAAAGATTGGAAGTATTTATAATAGAAAGCAAATTAAGAAACTTGGAAGAATAAATCGGGGTTAACATGAAAATGAATAGTGTATTCATGGAGGCGGTAAGGACACATTAAACCAAGATCGTTACAAGAGAAATATGGATTTCTATGCCCAGCAGTGTATCAGTATCATACAATATGTTTTCAATTAAATCAATCAATGTGTATGGGATATTCTAATCTAATTATTTAATTATAACAATTAAAGAGAATATCGTTTACATCTCAAAATCACATGATGTTAAATAAACAAAATGTGAACAAAAACTATACAAACAAAAACCCGATTTTTTACCGAATATTTTTATAAGTATAAACATTAACACTTTCTCTTTGGCTCACCTGTTGATATGGATTATAACCAGGATAACTCATCTTGATGAAAAACCTGAAAATTAAGATTTAATTGAATAAACAAAAATAAAACAAATCGTTATCAGTATATAATACACAAAACAATAAAATGATAACGCCAAATAAATAATAAAATTGCCGGTCAAAACCGATTTTAGCCACACCTTTTATCAATGTATAAACAAACTTTAAAATATATTCGAATACCCTGTATTAATTTAACAACGAATAGTTTAATCTTACGTACTTCACAAACAACACTTATAACAACAATCCAATTCTTCTCTTCTAAAATATTGATGATAACACAAGTGTATATTCCTTCTACGTAAGATGAGTAATCTCTACTACGTCAACAACTGACAAAAGCAATCCGATCAAACGTCAAAAAGAGTTTCTGTGGTAGAGGTGGGTCTCTGTGAAACTGGTATATTGTTTCATTAAACAATTTTTTTTAATAATTCAACATAAAAGTTTTAACGTTTAACGTTTTAGTTTACGGAAAACAAAACGTTGTCAAAAAATAAATTTTATGAACATGAAGGCAACAATAAACCAATATGTAACTTATATTATTTAAAAATGCACCTTAAAGTACCAAATAATAAGTTTTATTTCAAATGTATTAGCTGGATACAATTATATTCAGATGCTTATTTGACGAGAATCTAGATAAAATCCACATTTAGATTAATTGGTTAATATAGCCCAGTGACTTTCACTACAGTCTTGATATCCTCAACGCCACTCTAATCTGGAAGTTGCCCAGTTGAACTTCCAGTAATTTGAAAATGATGTTACGTTAGTTTGCCACTTACCAACTTAAAGAAGGCTTACAGCCCTATTCATATCGTCCAAAGTTTATTTAATTTGTTCAACTGTAAAACACAGTAGTTTTAATATATAAACCAACGTCCACACCTAACGCATAAACTATAGTTCTTCTTCTTCGCGTGCCATATCAGATTTATCCGACGTTGGCGATCACCATTGCGAAGGCTTCTCGATCTTCTGCAATATGGAATAATTGTCCTGCATTGGGTATCTGAGTCCATTTACGAATGTTTTTCAACCAAAAAACTTGTTTTCTTCCTACACCTCTACGGCCCTCTATTTTGCCTTTAAGGATCAGTTGTAAAATTTTATATCGACTTCCCCTTACTAAATGTTCCAGATAAGACATTTTTCGATGTTTGACAGTCTTTAGTAGTTCTCTGTCTTTGTTGACGCTCCTTAGTAGTTCTTCATTAATTTTTCTTGCTGTCCAAGGTATTTTCAGCATTCGTCTATGAACCCATAAACTATAGTTACCAAACAAAAACTATATAACGTGAAGGAAATTTTAACTACATAATATATTTTATATTAAAGTATAAAAATTCGGTTTATTCTCTCTCCTGTAAATAAATTAATAGAACTTTTTTATGAGTGCTTTATTTACATATATGATCTACATCCACATACTTATAATTAAGTTGGAAACATCAATATACATAAGTCTTCAGGAAGTAGAGATAGCCATAAATTCACTTAAAAATAGAAAGTCACCAGGACCAGAGGGAATAACCAACGAGCTTCTAAAACACAAAGGAGAAAGTATAACCCTAGAAATGACAAAACTTTTTATTACCACAAAAGTCCTAACCAACAAAATCAATAAACTAACAACTTTATCAGATGAACAACAAGGATTCAGATCCGGAAGATCTTGCGTAGACACCGTATTTGTAATAATACAAATCACAGAATAGGCAATCGAGTACAATAAACCAGCATATATATATATATATATATATATATATATATATATATATATATATATATATATATATATATATATATATATGTTTTATAGATCTGGCAAAGGCTTTCGATTGCATCCAAGTCGAAGACGTCTTACACCTACTGAATAAAAGAAATATACCAATCGATATTATACATCATCATCATCATCAGTGGTGCTACAGCTCTAGTTGAGCCTTGACGTTCCCCAGTCTATTTCGCCAGTCGTTTCTGTTCATCGCCAACTGTTGCCAATTTGCCGCGCCGATTTTCCTTGCGTCCTCGTCCACACCGTCCCTCCATCTCAGTCGTGGTCTGCCTCTACTCCTATTTCCCACTGGGACCGATAATAGAGTTCGTCTGGGTGGGTAATTTTCATTTGCTCTTGACACATGTCCAGCCCATCTAAGCCTACCTATTTTTATGAAGGATATTACATCTCTACCATTTACTATTTTTTTATACTTCTCGTACAATTCGAAATTATATCGCCTTCTCCAAATACCATTCTCACAGAATGGGCCCATTATTCTTCTTAGTATCTTCCTTTCGAAGACGAGCAGAAGATTTGCGTCTGTTTTAAAGATGGTCCATGTTTCTGACCCATATGTCAGCACTGGTAGGATGAGTGTTCGATATATTATTAGTTTGGTTTTCTGGCTTAAATTTCTGTTTTTTAGCTGCTTGCTTAGTCCAAAATAACATTTGTTTGCTAGCAGTACCCTCCGTTTAACTTCTTCAGATGTGTCATTATCGTTTGTTATGAGAGAACCCAAATATGTAAACTTATTTACTACCTTAAAATTATATTGGTCTATACTGAAGTTTTGTTCGGCGTTTCTAGCTCTATCTCTGTTATTTGGAATAGATGCTAACATTTTGGTTTTTTCCTCGTTTATTTTAAGGCCCATATTTTGTGCGGCTGTCAAGAAGGTGGAAGTCATCTCTTTAAGTCCTCGTGTAGTACGTGCGATCAAATCCAGATCGTCAGCGTAAGCCATAATCTGCGTTGATTTATTAAAGATTGTTCGATTGTTGAAAGATTGTAATCGATATTATACAAGCCATCGAAAATATCTACTTACATAATCGAATACAGGCAAAGATACATGGAAAACTAACACAGTGTATACCAGTACAAAGTGGAGTCAGACAGAGTGATTCGTTAATCCCACTTCTCTTTAATATAATAATGTACTAAATAATACAAGCAGTACGTAAAGGTCTTGGTTACAGAATGGGGAACAAAGAAATCCAAATATTATGTTATGCAGACGACGCCGCATTAATCGCCGAGACAGAAGACGAGCTCCAAAGATTAACACACATCTTCAATACAACAGCCAAGAAATACAATATGATAAAAATATAAGTCGAAAGAAAATGCAAAAAAGTATTTTTGAAGTGTGTATATTTTAGGCAATTCCTAGCTGAGCGCTTTCGGCTTTACAAAGCCATCATCAGAGCTATGCTACAATAAAATGTTCTTATAAGTACTAATTGGTAAAGATTATAATTTTTAACTTACGTCAATTTTTTAAATACCACTACAAAGGAGAGATCTCATTTCCTTAAATTTCAAAATTATGATTTTTTTAGTTGTTGAAATTCTTAAAACATATAAAAAACATATAAAAAGCCGACACTGGACTTCACAAACACGTTAAAAAATTGAAAAAATTTTTTGTCATGGTACGGGTGTAAGAACCCGACCATTGATTGATGTGAGGAGGTAGACAGAATAGAACTAATGAAATCAAATGTCGGTCCTTTTAAACGATTTTTCAAAAGTGACAGTTGACAAATGTCATATATAGGAAAAAGAGATTGTTTTTTAAATTCTTACAAAATTATTTAGTAGTTTGGAATTACTAATAGTCATCAAAGACTTTCTAAAAATTAAGTTTTTAAATTAAATTTTATGTGTTCATCACATCATACAGAATGACATTAGTTTGTAAATTCACTCAAGTCATTGCTCAAGGTCAATGTATGTTCAATCTGACAGCTATGGAAAGACATGAAAGACATGTCGTGGAATGCAAATTTTAGATTCCCCATGTCTCTTTTAACATCTTTTATCAACGTCTGTTTGCCTTGCAATTCTTAGAAGGCTCAGATTATAAAGCAGAAATCTGAATTGTGTTTCGAAACTATTTTACGATTGTTTAATTAGATGTCGCTACTGCGTCCGTATTGAAGCCATGTTATTGTTGCTTCTTAAAAGGCAGAAAATATTGATTTTTCACGATAAGAACCCCTATGAATAGATCTTCTGACGAGACCTATTAGGTCGAAATACGTATCAAGAGATACATAGGATTTGTTTGCGTGAAATCAAATATTTACTGCCTTTTCTCATTTTATTCGGATATACTCTGTGGGAGTACGAGAAACACAATTCGTTAAGGATTTCTCCTTAGTTGTAAAAGACATGTCGTGGAATGCAAATTTTAGATTCCCCATGTCTCTTTTAACATCTTTTATCAACGTCTGTTTGCCTTGCATTTCTTAGAAGGCTCAGATTATAAAGCAGAAATCTGAATTGTGTTTCGAAACTATTTTACGATTGTTTAATGACCTTGAGCAATGACTTGAGTGAATTTACAAACTAATGTCATTCTGTATGATGTGATGAACACATAAAATTTAATTTAAAAACTTAATTTTTAGAAAGTCTTTGATGACTATTAGTAATTCCAAACTACTAAATAATTTTGTAAGAATTTAAAAAACAATCTCTATTTCGTATATATGACATTTGTCAACTGTCACTTTTGAAAAATCGTTTAAAAGGACCGACATTTGAATTCATTAGTTCTGTTACGATTTTAAATGTTATGGCATATAGAACTGTAAATATTTTATGACTAATTCTTTTATTGATTCTCGTAATTTCTAGGTCAAAAATCTACCTGAATCGAATGTTCTGGGGGCGACAAGCCGATAAAAAAACATGTTTTGAGACCAGTCGCCGCTGTGTCTACATCGAGAACAGCATGGTATGTTCTACACCTTTCTGTTTACCGGCTTGGAATTATATAAATAAGGGAATACTTTCATTTAGGAACCAGTCATAAGAAGATCGGTAAACGCGGTACTTGTAACGAAACGAAAATAAATTATTTGTAATATAAATTAGAATTAATAAAGACTTTAATAAATTCGTAATTAGTTATCGTGAGTTTTAATAAATTAGAATATAGACAATAAATTAGAATAAAGACAAATAAATTAGAACTATATAAATATACAACATTTGGTGTCAGGTGTAGGGTATTTAAATAAACAAGCGGGACTTTAAATAAAAAGAAGTGAAATTGGTGAACAATGGCTACGATTTACGAGCTCACAGTTACGAATCTAAGAAGGCATCTTGAGGATAGAGAATTAGCTTCTACCGGAAAAAAGGCTGAGTTAGTCCAACGACTAAAGAATGCTTTGGAGGAAGAGGGTTTAGATCCGGAAACTTATATATTTGAAGATGCTGTCATCGCGTCAATTTCAAAATTAGAG